CATGGATACACACACACACACACACACACACACACACACACACACACACACGCCAACATTTATTTACCCAAACAAGTGTCATATGCACACAGAATGCTAATCCAACTAAGTATCAACAAGCTAACAACTGAAAAAGACTAAGACTCTGTGGCACAGCAATGGGCAGTTAATATCTTACCTGTTGTAGATAAATCTGACCAATAAGCTAATGGCTAGTCATAGCAGGGCTGCCACCTTAAAACAACTCCAATCTCAAAGCTTACAGTTCACCCAAAAGCACCTTTACTGTTCATTTACCCCATTATCAAATTGTCCATACGAGGTTACGTTTGTGCAAGTGCACCTCCCACAGCAATTTTAGAATGTGTTTGCCCAAATAACTCTGTAATCCAAACTGATGGCCTGATGGCAATGTAAAGGTTGATGAGATAGTGTCTGAATGGGATGGGAAAAGCTTTTTTGAGCTTTATATCACGTTATGTCATTCAAGAATATACCGAGTGTTGCTTTGATTCATTCTATTGTGTTTGAAAAAATCCTTGAATCTCCTGTGGTAGCCATGCAGAGCTGCCTAAACACTTGCTGGAACAAAGCTCCGCCAATTTACACAAAGCTCCTCCCTGGAGCTCAGTCCGCAGCCGAGCTCCCACCCCACTGAGCCCCCCCTTCATCGAAACATTGTTGTGAAGAGGTGCTGAAGTGGGAGTGTCAGAAACATTAGGCGGCTGGTCAATAGGGGGCGCTAGGGTGCGGCCCCACCACTAATTTTTGTACACAAAAAAATAAATAAATAAAATAACAAAATAAAACATTATGAATGTTTCAAAAAATATTGTATATATGTTTTCTGATAAGTAAAATACAGTAAATAATTTAGAGTTATTGATGTGTAAACTTCCATTTTACTCATGAGCTTTTTCGTGTTGAGTCACTTCTGGGTTACGAGCAGTTCGGCGCCCCAGAGTCCCATAGAAAAGTCGTAAGATTTTGGACATGCACAGTAAGTCCCCAATGCAAAAAAATAGAGTGGCCCGGAGCGCAGCTTGTCACCGCCCCGCAGCTGACCTCTCGTATTCATTTCTATGGGGTCCACCCTGTCGACGACTCGACGTCATATTAATGCAGCAGCCGGCAGGGCTTCAGGAAGCGGGTTTTGGAGAACAACAAACRAGAATTAAGGAGAAAACAACACCGTAAGTCTCTTATATCWAAACCTTTTCAAGGCAGAACATATGAGGAGAAACTTTAAGTGAAGTAGCTTGGACTGGATAAGCCGGGCATAATTAAAATTGAGCAAGAACGTGGTTTAGCATTAGTGCTGTACCAAACGATTATATTCTAATCGATTAATCTAACGATTATTTTTTCGATTAATCGATTAT